CGCGCCTCCGGCAAGCGGCTTTGGCTTGCTCGGGCGGGCGGGCAGGAGCTCTGCAGCCCCCTCGCTAAATAACTGCAAGTTGTACCCGCGCAGAGTAGCTTTACGGGTTGTGTTCCCACGCTGAAAGGCTTTGGGCTCTGCCTGCAGTCGCTGCAGGAGGTCTGGGAAATACTGAAGCCTCCTGGGAGTTTCCAGATCACAGAATCACAGAATGGTTGAGGTTGGCGGGGACCTTTGGAGATCATCTAGTCCAACCCCCCTGCTCCAGCAGGGTCCTCTAGAGCACATTGCCCAGGATCCAGGCAGATTTTGAGTATCTCCAGGGAAGGAGACTCCACAGCCTCTCTGGGCAACCTGTGCCAGTGCTCAGTCACCCATCAGACTGTTAGCTGACGACTTTTAGCGTCCTCAGTATATGAAACATTATGCGTTTCACTGTTCTGGGGTTGTGGAGAGTAAAAGCATGCTCCTATGATCTTACAATGTTATTAAGGTACTTATGTTACTGAAAGGTCCGTGCTGTCTTTACCTGGTAACCTGATGTCTAACCTGTATGCCCTTAAAACCTATATCTGCTGACACCGCTCATAAGAAGTCCATATGTGACAGAATGGATATCTTCTACTTATTTATTATGATTTGTGATCGATATTACCCTTCTTTACCTGCTGCCTCCTGTCATGATTTCATGATACAGCATTAACTTTTTAGCATCCGTTTCATTTTAACTGAATAGTTTTAATTATGCTTTTATTCATAACAAACCTTCAAAGCATATTGTGTGAGAAGTTCATTAATGAAATTAATTAATGAAATTAAACTGTTCGTAATTTTTGCAGATATGGGTGCGCTTGTCCTAGAAATAATGACCAGACTTGACCAACTCCCGATTGGCACAGTGCAAATTACTGGACTGTCCCAGCTCTCTCCCAGCCATCCAATCAGCGGATTTTTCACCATAGTTTCACCGACATCTGATAAACTAGGAGAGCTGCAGGTAGTCCTTAAATCTGTGCTCTTTCTTAATTATCATATGTATTACTGCAACACTTCAGAGTATGGTCAGGTATCAGGATCAAGTTGTGCTGCGTGCACTGCAGACCTGGTTTTTGCCCGAAAAGGTATTTATGGACTAAAGTTAGGAAATGAAAAAAAAATACAGACGGTGTTGGTTGTTTTGTTTAGAAGGATACGTGGCGTTGGTAGTTCAGCTTGACTAAGAAAATCTGTAGACTCTACCATGAGGGTGAGTTTGAACAGCAGATCTAAAAGTGGATACTCAGGTAGTTTTAGTTCTTCTCCAGAGCCCCGTTAAGCTGAAATTGTACAAGATTTTGAAATCGGGGGTAAAGAAGATGTTCCGTTTTGCGGCCTTCTGCTGTAGATAATTTATGCTGCCAGACAGTTGCCTGTGATTTGAAAACATGGAATGTGACATAAGTAGTTGTCAGTATGTCAGAGTTTTAAAGTGTTATAACTATATGATATCAATATTGTTTTTTACAGAAAAGCAGCAACTTTGCCTAGCTTGCAAAGTAAAGGTGAGTATAGAGTATGTATTGCACTTAATTAAGAAAGAATGAAATATTGTTTTCACATTCTGTCTTTCAGGTCTCATTAGTTTTAGAACCCCTGCCTGAAATGTATGACACCGGTAGCTCTATCCCAAACACAGATGCGGGTTTAGATATCACTCCCTCTACCCAGGGAAGCAGCAAGCCCCAGCTTCTTGCACCGTCACAGCAATCCAAGCAAATGGGGGTGACTACTGCTGGCCAAGAGTCTCTTAACAATAGCAGACCTACAACTCCCAGGTATCTTTCTTTTCCCTATGATAAAATTCTGATTTATTTTGCCATTCACCTCTTTGTTTAAGCAATGGCACTGCACTTGTGAGTTACGGAATACTTGATTTCTTGACTATGTGTTTTATATGAAATTCAAAGCATTCAGTAATTAAGAGCTTAAAGAGATAGTTTCTCATCTGAAATATATTTGTGTCCTACGTTGTCTTAATTCAAGCTGTGCTAGTTGACCCAAGAGGTGCCACAGTCTTTTATTTACAACTTGAGTCAGTCTGTCTGATGGTATGCGTGGAAGAGGAGGAGTCCGTAAAATAACATGTCACATTTCTTTTGGAGCGAGTACTGAAGGGGAGCAGCTGCAGCACTATGGAGAATTTGGAAAGGTTTGAATCCTGTTACTGATCCACTTCAATTGTTCCTGAAATGACGTTTCTTTTTTTTAATAGAGGAAAGGACCATTTTTTCTTTCAAGAGAATTCTGAAAACATAAAGGATATTTATGCTGCTTCTCACCACCATCTGATTTTACCAGATGAGCATTTGAAAGTGACTCCTTCAAATCAGCAAGTGTCATTTCCCACAAGCACTGATCTTGAAACACCTGCTAGAACAAACACGCGGGTGCTCTCTTTGCATAACCCAACTACAAAAGATCTGCTTTCAGGTTTGTATGCAGTTGGCATCATGCTTTAGATTTCACATCAAGTAGATGTTGATAATGTTTCAGCTGCCTGTTTAGAGATACAGCTGGCCAAAGACTAAAGACTTGAGGAAAGAGAGATATTTTGTGCATTCTTGCTGTGTTGCTTGGAACAGAAAATTATAACAAAGAAATATTGATTTAGTCTTGTTGGAAGCTGGCTTGATTATCCAGATCAAGCAAAACATGCTGTACTAGCACTGCACCTCTGGAGCCCCTGGAGGGATAAAAGAAAGGGAAGTTCAGCCTCACAAACTGCTTAATCATTGATACATCTTCTGCGATAGCCATCAAAGGTGCTGCTCACATGTGAATAGGTATTGGAAGGGTTTTTATGACATCAGCATTTTCTGATGGAATATGGATTCTTTTCCATCACCTCCTAGTTAGCATCCCTTCCATGGGCTGGATTCAAATAAGCACCAAAGCAGGGCAAGTTTCTGAATGTGCTATCTTTTGAGTTATTCTGTATGTTTGCTGAGAAGACTTAAAATAAGACTCCTGTTGAGGCATCCTAAAGTGACAAACTAGTCTTCCATACTATAGTCTTGTTACTCTATCTTAATATTGCCCCTCTAATCCCTCGCTCTATGTATGAAGTGCAGAGGAGTTATTTGTACAGGTCTGAGTGGAAGATTTTGATAGAGGATTGCTCTCACTTGCTCCCAGCTGTACTGTCCGTTTTATGGCGTATAGCGTATGGCATATATTTATGCTTAATCTCTAGTAGGTTAAGATCTCTTTATAACAGTAGAAAACAAGTGTCGTGATTGTAGCTGGCACATTTATTGTGCGCGCACATGGCTTTTAAATGACATTCAAATGCTGAGATTTAATCCTTGTGCTTCTTTCTCAGCTCTTTTGGATCAGGGCAATAAACTCCGTGATGCCATGGTTGTTTCTGCAATGAAATCTACACCGGACGTGGAGATTGAACTGAATGAAGTGCCTCCTTCCGTAAAGACAGATGGTTTCAAAGCAAAAACAAAGTGAGTTTGGAAAGAGGAGAGTGAGCTTAAGTTCCAAGCTATCAACTTCAAGGCCTTTGATGTGGTTTAGGATTCTTACTCAAATGGGAAATTAAATTCTCCATGTGAATACAAGCCTGCACATTGTAAATTGATTTAAATCATCACATAGTATGCCTTAATTTAAATCACTGACTTTATTTTTTTTCTGCACTATATTTGTGTTTAGTACATAGCTATTTGATAAGGAAATATTAACAATATTAAGTGTTGATAAGGAATAAGGGTATGATGATGAGCATAGTAAATTGAATGTTCCTTGGTCACAGAAAACAGGTTTTCAAAGAAATGTAAGTAATTAGTGGCATAAATTGAATACTTCTACGTATTCTAGTTCGAATGTCTCAGTGCCAAAATACCCATGAATATTTAAATCTATAACTATGTTCTCAGAATTAGTAGTTGTTTTCCTCTTCTGTATGATCTTTGTTAGCAGATTGGAAAAATATTAGTTTTTTAATTAGTTTTTGGCACAATAACTTATTGTTTTGTATTCAAATTTATTGTTTTGTACTAGACTGAATAAATGTTCTCAGTTCAGTGACACTAAAATTTAAAAGGCAAAAGTATTTTTTATGCAAGAGAAACTTTAAATCCTTATTTTTGGAATGATATGAATGTAGGAGTTTGTTCCATTATGAAACAGAAAAAATGTCATTGCCTTCAGGAGTCAATGATGCTGTTGCAAATACAATTTAAATTATTCGTAGATGATTGTAGTAAATGTTGGTGTTACTGCTATCATCTTTTCACTTTTTAAAATTTTTTTAATATAAAAACTACATCTGTTAAAAAAAAAAGTTTGATTTTTCTCCATTGTCATATGTTTTCTGCATTGCCATTTGCTGTCCAGATTGGCACTGCAGCAGAAGTCACTATCACGTGAAAGTCATTTAAGGACCTATTTGAAATTTACTGGTGGGTTTCAGTGCATTTTTGAGGTACAGATGTGCGTATTTGCCTTCTGCATGATGAATTAATCAGAAAGATTGCATAGCTTGACGTAATTTGTTGTGCCCCAAAGAGCTCAGTGACTGCATGGAAAGCAGTTCCAGTGCTTTTGCCCAAACTGTTCCAATTTGTTTAAAGTAGATGATTTTGGACTCTTCAGGAAAAATTCATAGGGCATCATTTACAGACAGCTTGACTTTTGCGAGTCTTCTT